TCACTCTGTGGTGACTTTTCATCCAGAGATTTTAGGTTGAACTTTGCAGTGTACTTGTATTGATGTCTTCCTCTAGTTATTTTCTATATCTTGAAGAAGAGAACCTTCCTTACCATGACATCATGAAAATACTCTCCTGTGATACCTTTGAGAAGGTTGCCCTCAATTATTAAGTCTTTTTCCTCTTTTTGAAAGGGAAAGATACAAAGAAAGAAACAGAGGGCAGTCTCCCATCTGCTGGTTCACTCCCAAGATGCCCTCAAAAGCTGGGGCTGGACTAGGCCAAAGTTGGTAGCCGGGAACACAGTCCAGGTCTCCCACACGGGTGGCAGAGACACAACTACTTGGACCACACCCTGCTGACTCCCAGAGTTTGCGTGAGAGAAAGCTTGAATCGGAGTGGAGCTGGGACTTCAACCCAGGCACCCCAGTGAGGGATGTAGCATCACAGCAACATTTTTTTTTTTTTTGACAGGCAGAGTGGACAGAGAGAGAGAGACAGAGAGAAAGGTCTTCCTTTGCCGTTGGTTCACCCCCCAATGGCACCGTGCTGATCTGAAGCCAGGAGCCAGGTGCTTCTCCTGGTCTCCCATGCAGGTGCAGGGCCCAAGCACTTGGGCCACAGCAGAGAGCTGGCCTGGAAGAGGGGCAACCGGGACAGAATCCGGAGCCCCAACCGGAACTAGAACCCGGGGTGCTGGTGCCACAGGTGGAGGATTAGCCTAGTGAGCCACGGCGCCGGCTACAGCAGCACCTTAACTACTGTGCCAGATACCTGCCCCTCACACTACATCACATTACATCAGGAATTGGTTCTTAGGATGGTATGAGGATGGAGTCCCATTTCTCTCTGCTCTGTCTCAGGCACTCGGGGTTTACTCATTTGTCCTCTCCCTATTTCATGCACAGTTTGTCCTTCGCCCACTGATGTATCCTGCAACCTTGTTTATATATGAGGCATCTGTTCCTGGCCCCCACCACATCTGTACCGACTGCTGTACCACACGGATGTAATCATCACACTCCACATGGGTCTTGGTATGTTTTTTAATAATTGATTTATTTATTTGAAAGGTGGAGTTACAGACAGAGAGAGGAAAGACAGAGAGAAAGGTCTTCCATCTGCTGTTCACTTTCCAAATGGCTGCAACAGCCAGAGCCAGGAGCCTCTTCCAGGTCTCCCATGCAGGTGCAGAGGCCCAAGCACTTGGGCCATCTTCTACTGCTTTCCCAGGTGAGAGCACAGAGCTGGATTGGAAGTGGAGCAGCCAGGACTCGAACCAGTGCCCATACGGGATGCCGGCACTGCAGGTGGCAGCTTTGCCAGCTATATCCCATGGTCTTGGTACCTCACAGCGCCCGTCTTCTAACCTCTTTGTTCACGTGTGCCTCAGCCACCAGTAACCCCTCCTGCTTCTGTATGAATTTCATATTCAGCTTGCCTAGTTCCAAAAAAGTTGGGGTTCATTAGGATTACCTCTATTTCATAAATCAGTTTGGAGACTTAACTATATTGATTCCAAAATTTGTTAATGTGTTATAGCTCTCCTTCCAAATACATTTTCTTCAAGTTCAGTAACGTTTTCTTATTTTATTTGGAGAAGTCTTACAGATGTTTGATTAAACTTATTCCTAAACACCTAATTTTTTGCCATCATAAACTGCATCTTTTAAAATCTTTATTTATTTATTTATTTATTTGAAAGGCAGAATTAGAGAGATAGAGAGATGTTCCATCTGATGGTTCAATCTTCAAATGGTGCAACAGGCAAGGCTGGGCCAGACTGAAGCCAAGAGCCTGGAGCTTCATCGGGTCTCCCACATCAGCGGCAGGGGCCCAAGCACTTGGGCCATCTTCCGCTGCTTTCCCAGGCCTATTAGCAGGGAGCTGGAACAGAAGCAAAGCAGCCAGGACTCGAACCAGCACTTACATGGGATGCGAGTGTCACAGGCCTTGGCTTATCCCACTGTGCCACAATGCCAGCCCTGTAAATTGTGCCTTTAAAACATTTATTTTCTGTTTCCTGTTGGGAAACCAAAATAACTGACATTGGCAAATTGATTTTGTCTCCAGCAACCTCACTGGGCTCATCTGTCCATTCTCACAGCTTTTCTGTAGTCTCCAGTGGAGTCCCTAGTATTGGAGGTTTGTACTATTCTCAAATAATGACAGCTTTGCCCTTTGCAGTTCTTCCACCTTTTATTTTGTTCTCCTATTTACTGAGAGGCCACAGCCTTCAGCCAAGCACTGATTCCAAGGCCGGTTGAGCTGCACTGGCATTTTGCAACTACACTGCTGACTGGTTGTATTTTGGCTGGGAGAGACAGACGGGAATCAAAGTGAAGTTGGAGTCTGGGGCCTGCGCAGCTGGCACAAGGCCATTGCCATTCACTGCAGCACGGTCAGTGGCTTGCTGGGCATACAGGGCTGCCCATGGAATGAAGAGGAACAAAGCAGTGCCTGGCACCTATTGGCACGGCCTATGCTCCTAATAGACTTGAGCCTGGTTCTCCACCTTGAAAAGAACTCCCTCCAGTAAGGGCTTGAACACTTCCAAGTGCTCTCAGTAGGGTCTGGCTGATGGCTTCCAGTCCAGCCACTGGCCTCCACTGAAGATTCTCTGAATACCAACCACGCCCACCAGGAGCTTGGCCCAGTAGCTCAAGTTGCTTCCATATCCCTGGTTCAAGTCCCAGCTCCCCTCGCTTCAGATCCAGCTTCCTGCTAATGTGCTGCCTGGGAGGTCAGCAGATGATGGCCCAAGTGCCTGAGTCCCTGCCACCCACGTGGGAGACCCTGATGAAGCTCTGGCTCCTGGCTTCAGCCTGGCCCAGCCCCAGCTGCTGTGGGCATCTGTGGAGTGAACCAGCACCCCTCTGTGTCTCTCTTTAAAAATATAAAAATTACACTGTACCTACTAAACCAAAAAATACGGGATGTTTTTCCCTCCAGGCTCCGTCTTTGCTGTTTCCAGTGCAAACACACACAGACACCACAATCTTGTTCCAAATCTTTCCCAGGTCAGATAATGGTCAGAGAAACCCCCAACTTGGGCCCCTCGATAGATTACCAAGCAGCTCCTCTGGAAACATGTCATCATGTCCCCCACATCTCTGCGTGCTAGGGCAGGAGGCGCCGGCCCTTCCCCGCCCCTCGCACTTGTCAGTCAAACCACTCCCTTCCAGAGATGTATCTCCGTCACCTGGGGTGGGGCGAGGTGCAATGCTGGTAGCCTCTCCTCCCACTGACCTCACAAAAGAGGCCAACAACTGGGAAAAGCTCTCTCTCTCTCTCCCACTTTTTCTCTCTCTTTCTCTCCTTTCTCTCTCTAAGAGCTGGAGTGAAAATGGAACCCCACACACACTTCGTACAGAGCTGCTAAGAACAGTCAGGAAACAAGGAAAGAGCCAACCCCTTCCGCACTCCCCGGGTCTCACAATGGCCCCGCTGTCCTGGCTGCTGTGCCAGGTGGACCATCCTTCAGCCCCTGGCTGCCAAGGGACTGGAGAACCTTAGGTGACCTATCCTCGCACATCTAACAGCCCCACTGGCCACCCACCTGCACTGGGGAGACAGGGAAGGGCGGGCTTCCCCCAGCCTTCCACTGCTCGCCACCACCCCACTCCCGAGAGTGTCAGGCAGGGACATCCTGTGTCCTCATAGTCCCTAGGGATGCCTGCCTAAACATACAATAATGGTTTGATTAACATTGCAAAGGCTTGTTTAAAAGTCCCTGAAAGAACTAAATGGCCGTATATAGTGACAAAAAAAAAAAAAATCAATGTTGGTTAAAATCGATGAGGTACATGGCAGTAAGAAAGCAGCAGCTGATGGAGTTAAAAACTTTGCTTCTATGGGCTGCAAGACTAGAACTGCTGGTTTTTAAATGCATTTTTACCTTCCTGCCTGTCTGATTTTGCGCCGTTTAGTGACTTTCTACTTCGTGAGTTTATATCATGCACGTCCCCAACATCCTAACGTGACAGCTCCGCCCTCTTGATCCACGTGTTGGGTAGCTAAGCAGACGTTAGCCTACACGTGTGAGAGGGGCTGCAGATAATGGGACTTTCTGTGCAATTGGAGGAGGAAACAAGCCTTGAGGGCAGACCAGCGTTTGTACATCAAAAGTCGTGCCCTTGTCTGTTGACCTTGGCAGCCGAGTCCTCGCCCTGCAGGGGGCAGGAGCGAGCTCAGCAGAGCTTCCCCACCCTGCACCTGCGGGGTGATTCTGTCTGGAAGCAATCTCAGGAATGCTATGCCCCTGCCATCCACACGGTACCTGCTGATGAAGCTCCTGCCTGCCTCCACCCCATCCCAGCGGTTACTAACATTTAAGGAGTGAAGAGGCAGATGGGAGCTCGCTCTCTCTCTCCAACTCTGCCCTCCAGTTAAATCTACCTACACACCTTTGGAACCCACGGTGTGACGGATGTGGATCAAGCCGCCATCTGCAACCGGGCATATCTCATATGGGCGCCGGCTCCTGTCCCAGCTGCTCCACTTCCCATCCAGCTCCCTGCTAATGCGCCTGGGAAAACATACACGGGGTCTTCACACAGATCATGGGGAATGTGTATAAGGAAAAGCTGTGTATGGGGTGGCCCAGCGGGTAAAGCAGCTGCCTGTGGCGTCTGCAACCCATACGGGGCAGCGGGGTGCAGCTCCCTGCTAATGTGCCTGAGAAAGCCGCCGAGGATGGCCCAGGTGCTTGGGCCCCTGCACCCACGTGGGAGACCTGGACCGAGGTCCCGGTTCCTGGCTTCAGCCTGGCCCAGCCCCAGGCGTTGCGGCCTTCTGGGGAGTGGAGATCTCTGGCTCCCTCGCTCTGGGCCTGTCTCTCCGCTGAAGATCCCTGCAGGCGCAGGCCGCCGCGTGGCGCTCGCCAGCCTCTGCGCGCTCCGCAGCCGCGTCCACCCACCGCGGGCCGGCCAGGAGCGAGTGCGGGCGGAGCCGTCGCGTCCCCGCCCCGCGGCCGCGTCACCGACGTCCCGCCCCGCACACGGCGGCGGCGGCCCCGCGGCGGCCGGGCGGCGCGGAAGCCAGGCGCGCGGACCATGGCGCCCTGGGCGGGCGGCGCGCTGTGGGCGCTGGGCGCGCTGTGGGCGCTGAGCCCGCTGCGCGCGCTGTGGCTCGCGCTGGCCGCCGCCTTCCTGCTGGTCCTGCTGCTGCAGCTGCTGCCGCCCGGCCTGCTCCCTGGCTACGCGCTCTTCCAGGACCTGATCCGCTACGGGAAAACCAAGCTCGGGGCGCCGCAGCGCCCAGCCGTCTGCCGGGCCTTTGATGTCCCCAAGAGGTAACGGTGCCCCTAGCTTCAGAGGCGCAGCCCGGGGGAACGCGGAGCGACGGGTGGGCTCCTGCCCGCGGCCGCGCGGTGGCCCTGGGGACGCAGTGGCCGCGCGCCCGCGGACGCCAGGGAGCGGCCGCATGGAGCCTGGAGTCTCCACGAATGCTGGGTTGCAGGTCATCGCCCGGAATGCGCTCTGGACTCGGCGCCGGGGCACGCGGAGGCGAAGGCGACGCGGTCCCTCGGCGGCAGGCAGGCGGCGCCTTGGGGGCACGCCGCATCCCGGGCTCGGGTCCACGGCTTGCAGCAGATGTCACCCCCAAGTTCAGGGCACGGTCTCTTGGCCTCCAGTGTGAATCCAGGACGCAGGTGGGAAGGGCCGGCCGTGCCCTGATCTGGGGGAGCGGCAGAGCGGCATCTTCCCTATGATTCGGCTCAGATCGGCGTTTGACCGTGAATCCAGACCGTGCGTGCACCACCCGGCGGGTGGCCTTGATGCCCGCGTCCGCAGACCCTCCGTGAGCGGAGCAGAAGTGAGGCCCTGGGGGAACTAGGTGGAAAGTTCCTGGAAAACAAAAGTTTTCATTCACTCCTAGTTTTCCTCCTAATCAGCTCCCTCCTATGCACGAATTTCTAGATTTTTGCACCGCAATGAACTCATCTTTGAATTCCATTTCTCCAGAACGTGGGGAAGCATCCCTGTAGTTGTGTGCAAGGCAAATTGGCCAGACTCTTTTTTTTTTAATATTTATTTATTTGAAAGGTAGAGTTTCAGAGAGACGGGGAGAGAAAGAGAGAGAGATCGAGAGATCTTCCATCCGCTGCTTCACCCCCCAAATGGCTGCAATCGCTGAGGCTGGGCCAGACCGAAGCCAGGAGCTTCTTCCAGGTCTCCCATGTGGGTACAGAAGCCCAAGCACTTGGGCCATCTTCTGCTGCTTTCCCAGGCCACAGCAGAGAGCTGGGTCAGAAGTGGAGCAGCCAGGACCCCAGCTGGCGCTGCAGACGGCGGCTTTACCTGCTGTGATACAACACCGGCCTGTTCTACAGGTTCTTTTCTAAACAGAAATGGGCCGCCAGCCTCTCTTAGGTTGGACTGCATACTTCCTTTTCTGCTCTGTGACAGTTTATTTTCAGAATATTGGAAGGGGTACCGGTGTCCTTGGAGGAGGGAGGAAGGAGACACTTGGTGCCTTGCCCTGTACAGGGCTATCACGATTGGGCTTCTTGTGATTGCTACTGTGTTGAGAAGGTACACATCCAGCCAATAATGAAAGCATTTTTTTTAAGATTTATGTATTTATTTGAAAGGCAGAGTTACAGAGAGACAGAGAAAGATCTTCAAATGACTGTGACAGCCAGAGCTGGGCCAGGCCGAAGCCAGGAGCCTCCATCCAGGTCTTGCACATGGGTGCAGGGACCCAAGCACTTGGGCCATCTTCCACTGCTTTCCCAGACACATTAGGCAGGAGCTGGATTGGAGGCGGAGCAGCCGGGACTCGAACCGGTGCCCATGGGAGATGCCGGTGTTGCAGGTGGCGGCCTAACCCTCTGTGCCACAACACTGGCCCTCAGTCTACAGCCGCTTTTATGCCTCTCTGCATTTTTCCAAAATGTCCTCACTGACAACATCCATTTCATTGCAAAAAAATTTGCGTAGTTTTCTCATGTGGGCCACTTACGTGAGCATTTTGAAGCCCCGTCGTAGGCGATGCCTCCTGCATGTATGTATCTTTCCCCATGTAAGCTTCATGACAGACCTGCCCTCGCTAGAGATGTGACACTCAGAGGAGGTCCCTTGCCCCGAGCTGCAGCGCTGGCAGGTGGCCTAGAGGCCTGTGGGAATTCAGGTCCCAGGCTCCCACCCCCTTGGCACTCTCTCGTTAATCCAGATTTGCAACTACTCGTTAACCTGAACCTGGAGAATTACAGTTAAATGTTTTTCCTTATGCAAAATGTAGTATCGGCTTAGCAATGACAATAAGACTATAATTTCTATTCTTAAGAAGTAGGCAGCTGGCAGTCACAGTTGTGCACATAAGGGTTCGGTATTTCGTTGGGATCAGTTTTCTTCCTAAGGAAGCAAAAATAAGGCCTTAAATGAGTTCCTGGGATGTTTGCACTACCCTGTCTGTTAGGGGTGTTTTTTCTTTACTTTTTTGTCGTTGTCAAGGTGATGGTTGCTTTGCTTTGCTTCCTTCTGGTTCCAAGAGTCTTGGGTTCCTAGAAAATCTGAAAAAGTAGGTGACCGAGAACGGGAGACCCAGCACTGCCAGTGTAGAAGGAAGCTCTTCTGTGTCCAAAATTTCCAAGTGGCTCCGGACAGTGTGGAAGCGCTGAGGTTGCTGTGGGCCCAGACGGCAGAGAGACGGCAGAGAGTGGCCTGAACTTTCTCCCCTGGGGTCCAGGGGTCCCCATGGGTGGGATGCAGGGCAGACAGGGGTGGGAAGAAAGCCACGTCTCACTTTGACTGACCTCTCAGTGAAATCTAGCATTTCCGGAGTTGTAAGTGAGAGCTGCAGTGCAATCCACAGTACTGCCACTTTGTAACAGCTTCTGTGTCCTCCATTAGCCTGTAGACATTCCCCACCAGATCTTGTCAGCTGGTGTGTTAGAAACAGGCACCACTGTATCACAGCGCGGTGTCGAGTAGATGTGCCACCTGCGGGTCAGCATAATTGGTTTTCTTTGTGTCACTCTGCGGTTAATTCTCTGCCTTGGCAGGTTCCAAATCCAACAGTGTACCCAACTGTGGATGGAAAATAGAAAAAATGTGCATCTCTACGGAACACGTGCAGACTTTTTCTTGTCATTACTCCCTAAACAATACACTACAGCAACTTTTTTATGTAGCGCATTTTATTTATGTAGCGTAAGCCATCTAGAGATGACTTAAAGTGTACAAGAGGCTCTGTGTAAATATGAGGGTGCTTTGGAAAGTTCATGCAATAAGTTTGAGTTTATTTTGATGCAAAAAATAGAAACCCACGCATAGTTTTGTCACAGTAGAGGCATTATGAAAAATCCGTTGCACCAAAGAGAACTCATCCCAGTGCCTCTGTAGTCACTATTCCTGTCGCCTAGGAAGTCGCTGCCCCAGGTGGCTGAGTCCGCTTACAAGGAGGCTGTCCTGTACCGCCCACCCCCAGCCGCCTCCTTACACCTTCTCTGTCCCCTTCCCCGGCATTGACTGTCCCCCGAGAGGTCCCTCAAGTCCTGGACTGGCCACCATGCTCCACTCCTGGAAGGCTGCCCGCCACCTTCTGAGTGCTCAGTAAGTGCAGTGTTCGTGAAAAAAAAAAAAAAAACGGAGTAGGTTAAGTGGCCACTTCAGAAGCCAGCAGCCTGCTTCCCAGGGGCCCACGCGTGTGGCTGGGGCTGAGCCACGCCCCGGCTGGGTTCTAGGAAGGCATGGGTTAAAGACGACCTGGACCGTAACCCATGAAGCCATGAGCTTCTGAGAAAGCCGGTTCTTGAGCCTGGAGGTGAGAATGACTCTCTTCACACAGCTTAGGGGCTGTTGTGTGGCCCCCGCCTGTGTGTGGCCCCAGAGCAGGTGCACTGGTCCAGTGTGCTCCCAGCTGCAGCACCAGAGATGGTGAGTGTAATGACCTTCAGGTGGTGTGTCTGGAACATCAATGAACTTCCTGCACACTTGGGTCTCGTTCCCACGATAAATGTCTCGTATAGGCAGGCGTTTCAAAAACCCCCAAATTCCAAAACCTTCCTCCCTGTGGCAGGAAAAGTGTAGGGAAGTGGGCTTCATGGGAACCTGTCAGTGAAGTGACCTCACTTCCTAGCAAAAGTGACTTAGCTGAGTCCCGATTCAGAAAAACACGATCAGAAGCCCCCAGAGGGTTCCCTGGAGCCCTGGGAGCCTGTGCTGGTGCAGTCCTGGGCTGGGGAGCCGCCGTGTGGCTGCTGCTGCTGCAGCATCGCCCAGGGTTCCCAGACCTCGCACGCACTCAGCTGTGCCGGCACAAGCCAAACTGCCACATGCAGGGTCCCGCCAGCCCCTGGTGGGGAGCGGAAGCCCCATTCTGCACCCAGAGATAAGAGAGGTTAGAACTGACCTCAGTGTAAGTTTCCCAAGGTCGGTTGGGTGCTTGTTAACCTCAGAGAGCCTCCCAAGTTCAGGGCGTGGTCATCTGAGCATCTTTAGGAATGGAGGAAAAAGGTAAAAACACAGTCTTCCCGCACGGTGGCTCGCGGCCGCTCTCTGCCTGACACCCGCCTGACTCGGTTCCTCCCGCAGGTACTTCTCTCACTTCTACGTCATCTCAGTGCTGTGGAACGGCTTCCTGCTCTGGCTCCTCACGCAGTCTCTGTTCCTGGCCGCGCCTCTTCCACACTGGCTTCACAGCTTGCTCAGACTTCTGGGGGCCACGCAGGTGCAAGGTAAGGACTCCCCGGCCCATCACAGCCCGCTGCCCGGCTCCTGCCTGCTGACACTGTTCTGGGCCTTTCTGGCCTGACTCAGCACAGCCTGGGGAGGGAGCCTGAGGGCCAGCGGAGTCACACTGGGTGGCCAAGGCCACATCCCCAGGTCCAGTGCTGCCAGCAGACCAGAGCCCGGCCCCTGCTGGCTTCCCTGGGCTGGGCACAGCACTGGCTGTTCTCCCATACTTTTAGAACTGTTGATAAATTGATGAAGCAGTCGTTCTGCGTGCAGGGGACAGCTCTCAAGCGTCCCCCGGGTTGGCCTTGACACGTGTATCAGCTCTGCAGTTCCGGCTGCAGTCACGTCTGAGATGCGAGAAGAATTAGCTTCTGAGTACGGGGAGGGACTTGCCGCGATGAGGCTTTGTGATACGGTACAGCAGAGTGGATTGCAAAATTCTCTGCACGCTCGTCTCTCTTAGCTGTTGCTCCAGAGTTAGAAGCAGGCTTCTGTTTATCACAGGCAAAGTTCCTCCGTGCTGATAGCAGTGGCGTGGGTGGAGACCTTGGGAGGCGGGCAGTGGCTATGCATGTGTGCATGTGTGTCCTGTGGCAGCTTTCCTGGGGGCGGAGCTGTGTGAGGCCATCTGGAGGTACCCGCCAGGGCGCACTGTCCCCTAACAGCATCCTGAAAGACGCAGGCCTGCATTTCGCTGGCCTTCTCCCTCTCTGGCTCCGTGGTACCCGGGACCCCGGCTCCCACCACGTGGAGCTGCCCAGGCCCTCCGGGAGCCTCTCTCTGACCCTGGTGCCTACCTGGCTGCCGATGCAATGTGTGCACAGCCTGGGACAGGACGCAGGTGCTGGCCCCAGCTCCTGGGCCCCACTGGCTGCTGGGGTCGGGGGTCGAGGGGGCGCAGGGCTGCCCGTGCCTGTCCATCGCCTTGCAGGGCCAGCAGGCGGCGAGGGCGCACTGTCGGCACTGCTGGTGCTGGTGTGCGTGTGGCTGCACAGCGCACGCCGCCTCTTCGAGTGCTGCTTTGTCAGCGTCTTCTCTCCAGCCGCCATGCACCTGGTGCACTACTGCTTCGGGCTGGCCTACTATGTGCTGCTCGGCCTCACCGTGCTCAGCCAGGCGCCGCTGGACGGCCACCACGGTGAGTGGCCCCTGTGGCCTAAGGCTGACCGGGGGCGGAGGGGACTGAGCCCGAATCAGAGGACCCAAGAGTAAGGGAGATGGGGAGTAACCCAGTTACCCAAGAGTAACCCAGGTGGGGAGGGGGGTGGGGCGCCCAGGGTGAGCAGGCCTGACCCTGGGCGGGAGGGAGGGAGGGAGCTGGGGCACTGCCCTTGGTCCCCTGGTGTCACCTCACAAGGGAGCTTTTCTCCCAGAGCCCAGCCTGAGGGGAGGAGCGGAGAAGGCTGGGAGACTGGGTCTTCTTGGAACACAAGCTTGGGCTTTGTTTGCAGGGTGCAGAGCTAGTGGGGCTTTTGTTATACTTGGGGGGAGGGCTGGGCTGCCTAGTGGACAGGACCATGTCTCTGCACCAGCCTGTGTGTTCCCGTAGAGAATGCGCGTCATTTGGGGGGACTAAGATGGGGCTTCCCTCGCCGGTGTCCCTCAGCCCGGGCCCCAGAGAGCCTGAAAAGGCTCGGGCCTTCCTGGTGAGCTGAGAATATGCAGGAATGAGCTTGCGCCTCGGGTTGAAGTTCAGTGGACTCTCTCCCTCCCTCTCCCTCCCTCTCCCTCCCTTCCTCCCTCCCTTCCTCCCTCCCTCTCTCTCTCTCTCTCTCTCCATCTATCTCTTTCTCTCCCGCTCTCACACATCCTCTGTGGCTGGAGGAAAGACTTATCGCTGACCCTTCTCCACCCGTGAATTATTTATAGGCTCCAGTCCCTCAGCCCGCATCTCCCCTTCCAATTCCTCTGAATGTCATCGGGCGTCTCTTTCCTGCCGGTCTTGGCCGTGACATTCAGCCAGTGCCGTGGGTACCGGGGCGTGAGCAGTTGTTCCCGGTGAATGGCACTGGGTTCCTCGCCCACGGGGACTTTAGAAAGCACGTGGGTCACCCACTGGCTCTCGGGCCGTCAGTTGCTGTTGTCACTGGCTCTTCTGGACCTGTCTACGGCTGGACCCCTCTTCCCTGCCCTGTGATGGTCAAGGCGAGAAAGCCAGGGTGCCCCCACCCCTACCCCGCCATGGCAGACCGTCCTTTCTGAAGCTGTTTTTTTTCTATTTCACCTGCTTGTCTCTCATGAGGTCATCTGGGGGCTGGTGTTGTGATGCAGCAGGTTAAGCCGCTGCTGTAACACCCAGCATCCCACACTGGAGCTCCGGTTTGAGTCTTGGCTGCTCTGCCTTGGATCCAGCTCCTTGCTAATGCACCTGGGAAAGCAATGGAGGATGGCTCAAGTGTTTGGGACCCTGCACCCATGTGGGATTCTAGGCTCCTGGCTTCAGCCTGGCCTAGACCCGGCTATCATGACTATTTGGGGAATGAACCAGTAAATGAGATCAATCTCTCTCTCTCCCTCCCTCCCTCCTTTCTATGTCTCTCCCTCTCCCTTGTCGATCTTTCAAATACATTTTTAAAAGCTTCAAAAGAGAGGTCATCCAGGGTCACTTGGGCCGAGCTGGTGTGCTAACTCAAGAGGAGACAGCATATCGCAGCATCTGCCAGCCGTGCCGTCTAGAGAAATGGCCTGGGCTTGGGAGAGCCTGCCCCGCCTTGATCTGGCTCATTTCACCTCTCAGGGCCCCGTCAGGAACGAGGCTGGCTCCACCGAGTCCCTGTACGAGTGAGGAGGAGGGGAGCCCCAGAAAGCCCGGGGTCCGGCTTGGCTCAGGGCCGCCTCGTCCTGTGTGCCGGCAGCAGTGGCTCGTTAGCTCGGCACTCAGGACGTAACTCAGGAGTGACCCAAAAACTCAGCACCACACAGGCCGGGCCCTCCCACCTGCTGCCGGCAGTTCTGGCCTTGTGCAGATCCGCCTTCTCCTATAGGCAGTTCCTCTGTGTTTACAGCAGAACTCCGCCCTGCCTTGAACTCCCAGACCCTCGCTCCATCCTGCCCTGACTTGGCCCCAGAGGCCCATCAGATTTAAAACTGTATTTTGCATTTTTTATTTTTTTAAATTTAATTTATTTAATTTCTGAAAATACCTTTTGGTTAAGTTGGTAAATACCAGAAGACTAGGGTTGTCACTGTAGAGCAAGCACATTGCTAAAACAGGTTCACGCGGTGGCCCGTGTGGAGTCCCACTCGCTGGCCATCACCTGCCAGTCCCACCTGCTGGTCCCATGGGGAATAGTGTTGTGTTTGGTTCTCCTCCTGGAGTCAGCTCTTTGGCCTCAGGCCCCTGTGTGTTGTCAATGCACAGCTTTGTTTCCTGAGTCAGGAGCTGGGCTGCGGGGGGGTGTCTGGCTTAGTGGTGGAGATGCCTGTGTCCTGGGTCAGGGTGCTGGGGTTCCAGTCCCAGCTCACTCCTGCCAGTGCTGTTCCTGGTTGTTCAAGTGATGGGATCCCTGCCATCCATGGGAGACCCGGATTGAGTCCCTGACTCCTGGCTTGACCCCTACTAGCCCCAGGGTCACCTTTGTCTGCTGTACCGAGGACCTGGTTTCTCTTAAGGTCCGTGGGTGGCTGCCTTCTTCCTCTGCCTCCCTTTCTCTCTCTCTCTCTCTCTCTCTCAGTTCTCTGTCATCCAGACAGGGGCAGCATTTTGTTGTCCATCTTGCAGGGTCCCCTCCCCCTCGTGTGAGAAGTCCCCTCGCCCTAAGCCACACCCCCATGCTGTCTGTCCCTGGCCACAGCCGGTCACCCCAGCATTCGTACTCAGGATCTCCCTGGCCACAGCTGGGATGGTAGCTCGGGAAGGGCTTTCTTTAGAAAGCATTTTCCTAACAGCGAAACACAAGGAAGAAGACTTAAAACCAGGCTTAGCGCTAGACACAGCCGGTGGTCTCACCGCACGGGAAGAGAGGCACGGCGGGAGCTGACCCCGTACCTGGGGAGGCTGTAGTCCCAGGGACCGTGTCTGCCTGCTGGACTTGGGGGTGGCCTCGGGATCCTCCCCCTCTCCCTTCCCGAAGGCACAGAATAAGGGGATGGCCGAGTTCTGCTGACCGTGGTTCTGTTTGGACTGCCCGAGCCGCTGCGCTGTCGCGGGCTTCCCAACAGAGCTTCCTTACCTCCGCAGTCTACGTGATAGGGAAGAATCTGCTGAGGCAGGCACGCTGGTTCCACATCCTGGGCATGCTCATGTTCGTCTGGTCGTCCGCCCACCAGTACAGGTGCCACGTGATTCTTGGCAACCTGCGGAGGAACAAAGCAGGTGAGTGCGCGCGCTCCCCGCCGCGCGTGCGGCTTGCAGCCCTCGGACTGAGCTCGGCGCCTTATTCTGTGCCTTCCTGAGCAAGCGCTTATTATTATTGTTATTATTTTGCAAGATCAGGACTCCTGGGTCTTGGTCTTCTCACTTATAAAAGGAGAGCCTTGCACTGAGAACCTCTGACATTCTGTGCTGTGCCCACGGGCTGGGAGTGCCTTGTGGAGTTAGCGTTCTTGCAGGATGAGTATCCGGCCAGCCAAAGCCGAAACCCTCAAACGTTGAGTTGGCTTGTGCTGACTTATCCCACCTTCTGTTTCCATGAGGCCATTTTAAATATTAAAGTAATGGAATAATACATTAACTATGCAGAATGGAATAGCGATATTTAATCTGTCCTGAATGCTTTCCTCCTGCCAGTCCCTGCGCTGAGCGCTTAACGTAACAGGTCACAGCACCCAGGTGTGATGGCCACTGTCTCATCTCATCCTCTCTGTACACTTCTACTGAGGCACGGTGAGGGCACGCAGCTCGTCCGCTAGATCGGAGAGCCAGGACTTGAACCCGTGCCCATCTGATTGTTGGAGGGACCAGCTCTCCTTCTGTGCTTGGGAACAATGGACAGTAGAGCCCGAGCATGCGACAGCTGACAGTGTGCTGGGTTGACAGTGGGGGTGTGTGATGACTTTTGTGGATAAGAGTCTCTGGGGAGCCCAGGAGGGGTCAGATAGTAAAACTCTGTTCTTTCCTGCGCCAGGGGTGGTCATTCACTGTAACCACAGGATCCCCTTTGGAGACTGGTTTGAGTACGTGTCCTGCCCCAACTACCTGGCCGAGCTGCTGATCTACGTGTCCATGGCCGTCACCTTCGGCTTGCGCAACCTCACCTGGTGGCTGGTGATCGCCTATGTCTTCTGCAGCCAGACGCTGTCCGCCTGGCTCAGCCACAAGTTCTACAGAAGCAAGTTCGTGTCCTACCCGAAGCACAGGAAAGCGTTCCTGCCGTTTCTGTTCTGAGAGCTTGGGCTTGACGCACGCACGCAGTCTGCAGACGCAGGGACGCGTTCTGCAGAGCCATCGGAAGAGCCGAAGAGTCGCCCCTGAGCCAGCAAAGCTTTGCCCCTCAAAGAAAATGAGTGCATGATGTCTTCAGAGAAGACATATACCTCTGGCCTACCTCCCAGGCACGGGACCCAAAGGTTGCAGACAGCTACACGTGTGTGCACGCACACACAGGAAGGGAGGCCTGGAAACTGTTAGGGGAGGTTAACTGGACCATATCATGCGCAGAGTGCTAGGGGCTCAATAAATGTTACATTTCCGTGGAAGCAGAATGCCTTTGGAAATCACGTGAGCCCGTAACCTTGTGCCAGGTGCTCCCCGAGGTGGTTTGTAGGTTCATAGGTCACACGGAAGCCAGTAACCACTTCCGCTCATCTGCCTGCATGTCACAGCCCGCCAGCCAACTGTGGCGCCTCTTCTGTTTAACTCTCTTCTGGCCTTGCTTCAGAACATTGGAGCCTTGGGAAATGAAAGCCGGGTTTGCGTGAAAGCCTTCAGGAGCGTGACCAGCATGCTCCTGGTGGAAGCCTTGTTCTGTAGCTGCTCGGGTCGGGTTAGGGGCCGCCTGAGTCTGTTTCAAAGGAGAGAAAGAGAGAAGAGATCTAGGAGAGAAGTTTACACTTAGAAAAGCTTATGTGAAAGAAAGATGCCCCCGGTTATAAGTGCACCTTGCAAAAGCAAAACCAGAGCCTGAAAAATCTTGCAAGCGGCAGCAAAGCTGTGCCTTCGCAGCCTGCGATTCCCTGCCTGCCGGGTAGAGTGTCAGCTCTGCCTTTTGTGTAGCTGTCGCGTTATGGTCTCCCAGAACCGAAGTTTTGCACTTACGTGCCCCTTGCTCTGGGGAAGGAACCTCATGAACCAAGCAGCCGCAGGTCCAGAGCCTTAAGAGTACCTGCCCCTTAAGTAGTCAACCGAGACCAGTGCACTAAGATTCCTTTCTGCTTGGCTTTATTTTTTTTATGACTTATTTATTCAAAAGGTAGAGTTACAGAGAGAGAGAGAGAGAGAGAGCTTTCATCCGCTGCCTCACTTCCCAAATGGCCACAGCCGCTGTGGCTGGGCCGGCTGAAGCCAGCAGCCAGGAACTCACTCTCTCTGGGACTCCCACATGGGTGGCAGGGGCCCAAGCACTTGGGCCAACTTCTGTTGCTTTCCCACGAGCACTGGCAGGGAGCTGGGTCGCAAGTAGAGCAGCCAGGACTCCAACTGGCACTCGAATGGGACGCCGGCATCGCAGGCAGCGGTGAACCTGCTGTGCCACAGCACTGCCCCCCCCCCCAACTTAAGTGCCTGCATACATCAAAGACCATCCTAAAGCTCTCGTAGTTACTCTGGGGTGACATTTCCTTCCCCCTCAATCAGAGATGGACCTGATGCCAGTCTATTGGAATGAATGGCACACTCATTTCATTCATCATTTAGAGTTTACAGGACTCAGGAACATGACTATTTCTATATCAGAAATACAAGCAGAACACTGTTGTCTGCAAGTTTCCACACAAATGGCATGCATGATGCAAATAAATTATTTGGAGTGTGTATTGGTGGGGAGGTCTTTTGCTTTTTTTTTTTTAATATTATTTATTTATTTATTTGAAAGAGTTACACAAAGAAAGGAGAGACAGAGAGAGTTCTTCCATCTAATGGAGAGACAGAGAGAGTTCTTCCATCTAATGGTTCACTCCCCAGTTGGCCGAAACAGCCGGAGCTGGGCCGATCTGAAGCCAGGAGCTTCTTCTGGGTCTCCCACGTGGGTGCAGGGGCCCAAGTACCTGAGCCATCAGGTGCATCAGCAGGAAGCTAGATCAGAAGTGGAGCAGCTGAGACTTGAACCGGCACTCTGATAATGGGATACTGGTGTCACAAGCAGCAGCTTAACGCACGGCACCACAAGGCCGGCCCCTGAGTGCTGTTTTTATGGAGAAAACTTCTGAATTTATGTATCCAGCCCAGACTTCACTCTTGGACTCGAGGCTCGTATATCCAGTTGCCTGCTTAACACCCCTATTTGATGTGTAGTAGGTGTCTCAAGTTTTACACGGCAAAAGGTGAATTTCTGGTTTGGGGCACCCCCACACCTGACCACCTGCCACCTTCCCACTTCTTCAGTTAAATATCATGGAGTCTTCCTCCACTCCTCTCTGACGCTCTACAAAGCAATGCATGGTTCTACCTTCAAAACAGAGCCCGTCCCTATTGTAATAATTCTGTTAGAGAGCATTCTTATTGGCGCCACCCCCATTGCTTACCAAGATTACCCTAATAATGTCCCTGCTTCTCCCTTATTCCCTGCAGCCAATTACCAGCTCAAACCAGAGCAGTCTCCCCAAAATAATCACTGCTGTGCCTGCCGTCCCCAAACCTGGCAACAGTGCGCAATCTCAGGTCAAGGCTCAAGTTGTTATAATAGCCCACAAGGTCCCATGAGCAACACCCCAAACTAACTAGAACCCCCAAACCTGGACCCACTCCCCCAGCGCGTGGACAGCCAACCACTGACATCGGGGTGACGGGAGGAAGTAGGTCTTATTGCAAAGTGCAGAGCAAGGACCAGGGCAGCTGCTGCTTAGTTCCCGGGCCCCCTGAGGAGTTGGGGTGAAGGGTCTTGCAGATCACACTGAGAGGTGCCTGATGAGCTCATGTCCAAGTTCTTGGTTGGTGCTTGTGACCTTTCACTTGGTCGGTGACCCTGTGCTCTTTAGGGAGTCTATGAGGGCCTGGGGGGCTGCAGTTGGTTGTTGGGGGTTACAGGTAAGTGGAGTTACCTTCTGCCCCAGGTCTGGAATTTTCCTAAACAACCCCCTCCGGGCAGCACTGGCCAGCAGGGTTCTATCCACTGGAGAAGCATATGCCTGCTTGGATCTGGTGATTAGAACCCTGTCGGGCCAGCTGCACAACTCAATTCAGTGAATTCCTTTTGATAAGGGACAGGCAAGGACACCTTGAGCTAAGGGAGACGGAGGGGCTGACTCCAGCCTTTACACTGTCCCCAACTTGCTTATCTCCTCCTGGTCTCGCCTCATTCATGCTTGCTACACACCACGCCTCCGTGGCAGTCCTCATACGTACGCTCAGTCAGGCTCCTGTTTCAGGGCCTGTGCTCTGGCCCGTCCCTGTGCGAGGAATGCCTTGGTCTCAACCACACGCCCTTCTCCCCCACCTTCTTCAAGGCTCTGTTCAAACATCCCTCTGTTCCTTTATGGTGGCCACAAACCCTGGTGGCTCTTACCTCCCAGTTGCTGGCGTCAGGATTCCAGGTGTGGCTTAGCTGGGTGCCCTGCCTCCAGGATTCTCTACAACCACAATGTCATCTGAGCTCCAGTGGGCAGGCCCCTCCGCACGCTCGCTCCCGTAGCTGTCAGCTGGACTCACTTCCTGTTGGACGTCGCACTGGGGGTCTCCCCATAGAACATCTCACAGCACAGTACCCAGCTGCCATCAGGACAGGCAAGCGAGGGTGTGCAAGAAAGAAGTATCCTAATTCGCGCTTGCTACACCCTAATCTTGGGAGTATGTTGTCCTATTTGCCATATTGCCTGTGTTAGAAGCAGTACAGGAGACCAGGAGGTGCAGATTACTGGGAGCATCTCACAGGCTCTGTACCCCTTCTCAGCAAGGCAGCCCCCTTGTTTAAAATTGCAGCCTGGGTGAGGCATTAACCCAATGGCTAAAGCACTGGGTTAGGAAGCCCGCATCCCGCATCAGAGTACCCGGGTTCAATACCCAGCTCGAGCTGGTGATGCCAGCTTCCTGCTAAGGGAGACCCTCCGAGACACGCTCCAGCTCCTGCTGTCGGCTTCAGCAGGTGATGGCTCAAAGTAATTGGGTTCCTGCCACCCACATGGAGACCAGGATGAAGTTCCAGTCCCTAACTTTAGACCCCCACCATTGTGAGCATTTGTGAGTACGCTGGTGAGTAGAGCTTGCTCTCAGCCCCTCTGCCTCTCAAATAAAATAGTTGAGTTGCAGCCTAACTCCATTGCCTCCCCCACCACACACACACACACACACACACACCACACACACACACACTTCCATTTCTCTTTGCTCTGATGGGCAATAAGAAATGCATATTGTCTTGAGCCACCCAGCTTTGGTTTATTCTGTAGCAATGACAAACTGGTGTGCTGTCTTCTACACAGAAACTGCGAGGTATTTTTTTGTTTTGTTTTGGTTTTGCCCCGACACGCATTGTTCGCATCCCCTGAACGGAAAGAAAGCTCTGTGAGAACAAGATGTTTTGCTTTTTGTTTCTGAGACTGTTTGATCACGGATGTATCCCCAGCCCTGGTACCTAGAGGCACTCAGTGGCTAAGAAATCACTGAGTCTGTTGTCAGGGTCCCCTGCCTCGCCTGAGCCTGTTGCAGAACTGCAGTTATACTTCTGGGAATGCATTTTGATGAGGGGGAAATCAATGCTTAGGAATCCATCCAGTATTACAACCTCACCCACGTCTTATCAGCTTCTGCAAGAGAAATGCAGCATTGGTGGGAAGTTGAAATAAATGCATTTATTCTTGAAAGTATGACGCAGATGGCAGTGATTAGCCTGTAGCATGAAGACCATGTCTGTGATGTTTGCTCCTCCCATAAACCTAAAAACATGAATGGCACTGTGCGATTTCTTGCTCCCTGACCTGCAGACACACTGCCCCGTGATCTGCACTTAACTCACCCTGGCCGTGACTTTCACAAGTAGATTGTGTAAAATAACTGAGGCCTAGAACAGAAGGAAAGAGAGCAGTGCTAGAGGGACTGTGTAATCCAGGAAATGGGAAATGCCTTGTCCTCCCTTAATGTTATCCATCTTATGAAATGAGAACACGTATGTTTCAGGGCAAGATGTGGCCGTGGTAACGGGTGGAAACGAATGGATTTTGGTTTCTCGGGATTAATTCATCTTTCCCTCCCATCTACTAATCATGGCCAAATTGGACTTCCCATTAGTCTTTCTCCTTTTCCATTGGAAATTGTCTATAGGGTGTCCTTCCATGACTTTGCTCTTTAGATGTGGAGGCAAACTTTAGTTCTCAGGATAATCTTGCAACCAGGGAGTAACGCAGTTGGGAGGGAGGGCGATGGATAGGAGCGGGTTCTCCCCTCCTCCGCCTCCATTCTCCACAGTACTGTTCTGCGCAGGAAGTCCGGACGCTTTCTCTTAGGGAATGGGTACCTTCCATGAAATCGACCCAAACACTTACACGTGGAGGAAACAACATCTCTGCTGTTTTTGAAAATAACTTGTGAACCTACTGTATTACAACATTACTGCGCTGTGGCACAGTGGGTTAATCCTCTGCCTGCGGCGCCGGCATCCCATATGGGCGCCTGTTCTAGTCCCAGCTGCTCCACTTCCAATCCAGCTCTCTGCTATGGCCCGGGAGGGCAGTGGAAGATGGCCCACGTGCTTGGGCCCCTGCACCTGCATGGGAGACCGGGAAGAAGCTCCTGGCTTTGGATTGGCGCAGCTCTAGCCGTAGCGGCCACTTGGGGAGTGAACCAATGCATGGAACACCTTTCTCTCTGTCTCTCCCTCTCACTGTCTATAACTCTACCTCTCAAATAAATAAATAAAGTCCTTAATTAAAAACAGCATTACCTGAATCTCTTGAGTCTCTCATTCAGTTTCAGCTACCTGTATCTGGTGATCTTGTATACTCCAGGTTTATTAATCTTCATTCTGCAAGACCTTTGGGTTACTATTCTAGAATTCCAGAACGTACTGAACAGGTCCACAGTGATGATTTACTATGCTTTAATTCTTTTCCCTTCTGAGAACAACTTTTCTGACAGTCAAGTTAAATTGTGGTTGTTTTATTCAAGAGGGACATAGCATTTTTTTAAAGATTTATTTATTTATTTGAAAGTCAGAGTTACACAGAGAGAGGAGAGGCAGAGAGAGAGGTCCTCCTCCATCTGATAGTTCGCTCCCCAATTGGCCGCAACGGCCAGAGCGGCACCAATCTGAAGCCAGGAGCTTCTTCTGGGTCTCCCACGCAGGTGCAGGGGCCCAAGGACTTGGGCCATCTTCCACTGCTTTCCAGGCCATAGCAGAGAGCTGGATCAGAAGTGGAACAGCCAGGTCTCAAACTGGCACCCATATGGGATGCTGGTGCTTCAGGCCAGGGCATTAACCTGCTGTGCCACAGCGCCAGCCCCAAAGGACATAGCATTTTAACCTGGGTTGATTTCATTTGCCTTTGTTGGCTTGCTTTTTCTGGAATGTCTTTACTGGAGTGTGGTAATTTAGAGGCAGAACCTCCTGATATAATAAGGGTGTGTCAGACTGAATAAGAAACATTTGACTATGCCATTTTTGGCATGCATACTAGTCCACTTTTCTTATTCATAGGGTGTAGTCTCAAAATCAAGGGCGTCTGGGGATATGTTCAGTACAGGTTCACGAAGGGCATGCCTGCCTGCAGCACTCACTCTAAGCTGCTTTGCAATCCTCAGGCCTACCCTTCCTGGTCATGTCTCAACAGCTCTCCTCCAGGATCAAGTTCAAAGTCTCGTATAGTAGGTAAAACAAGAAGGAC